CTCACAGCGAACTTTGGTTCATAAAACAGATCGCTTTTGGAGAGTGAAAGGCAACCTACAGAGAGGGATCAGATATTTACAAAACCTCTCAGACAAAAGAATCCAAATTATACAAAAGAACTCCAACAAATCGATAAAAGCATTCCTTATAACTTTATGCTCATGATAGCAATAAAAATGTACTGGCATTTACTTTCCAGAATAATGTGCCCATTACTATGTTAAGCACTCTTGCTTAATTCTCCCAACAGCCCTCTGCCAGTAAAATTATTGTCTGGCTTTGACAGATAAAGAAACAGGCCCAAAGAAGTAACTTGCCCCAGACTACAAAGTCAAACTCACACCTGACTTCAAGGGCTTTGCTGTTTCAGTCATTGACACTGTTCCCAGCTCCACGTGGAGGCCAGGGTCTTTGGCCTTTCCAGGGAATCACCCACACGGCTCACAGGCACCCAGCATGCGAGGCCCTGGGCTAGTGCTCCCGCTGCCCCACGCTGTGGTGAGTATGAGGGTGGGGTGGACACTACATCTCAGTGTTCTGGAAGCTGGCCTCCTGCAGCCGTTTTCAGGCTCTTCCCTTTGGACAGGTGGGCTTAAGAGATAATTACATCATGTGTAAGTCAGAAAAGCAAAACTGGAGGTTGATCAAACAATTCCAGGTTTCTAAAACCAGGAATAACCTTTGAACCTTAATTCCACTTAGAAGGAAAAAAATTACACAATTTACAGAATGCATTAACCCTCAAAATGTAATGTAAGTTCAAAAAAGTACTAGGCTGCCCTGGCCGGTGTGGTCCGGTTGGTTGAGCATCATCCCACACACGGGAAGGATCACAGGCTCGGTTCTGGCCTGGTTAGGGCACGTACAAGAGGCAACCAATCTATGTTTCTCTCTCCCTCCCTTCCCCTCTCTCTAAAGATCAATGAACACGTCCTCGGGTGAGGATCAAAAACAACAAAAAAAGTATTAGGCAACTAGTAATGACAGAACTCTAAGCACTAAAAAAGCGTGACCTTTTTTTTTTTTTTTTTTTAAATATATTTTATTGATTCTTCACAGAGAGGAAGGGAGAGAGATAGAGAGTCAGAAACATCGATGAGAGAGAATCATCGATCAGCTGCCCCCTGCACATCTCCCACTGGGGATGTGCCCGCAACCCAGGCACATGCCCTTGACCGGAATCGAACCTGGGACCTCTCAGTCCGCAGGCCGACGCTCTATCCACTGAGCCAAACCGGTTTCGGCAAAAGCGTGACCTTTAAGGGTGATGGGGCAGAGGGTGACCCCTGTCCACCAGTGCACGTCTCTGCTGACCATAGCGTGTGAGCACGGATGGGCCAAAACCACAGAAACTCTGATTCCTGATCAGAGGTCATTCCAAGGGCCTAGGAAATATTTCCCTGCCACGGTACGATTTTGTTTTCATTTCTCTTCCTGGGCACGCCCATCTGTGTATCTGGTGCCCTTGAGACACAACAGTTAAAAAAAAAAAGGCCAATGTCTTAGAGAAATGAGCTCAAGTTCCTTTCTGGGTCAAAAGTAATGGTTTGGATCCTATCTCCACATCCCGAGCCTGGCTGACTTTTCCCTAAGAGCCTGACCTTACACGTTCTCTCGCCCGTGTCCATCTGCTATGCCCTGCCCACTCGTGCAGGCTCCTTGTGGTTGATGTCTGTTGGCATTTTAATGCTGAGGAACGTTCCGGCTCCTGCAAGCCAGCGAGGGAACACTGTGCACTGAGCGCGTGCAGGCCCAGATCCAAACAGGGTCCTCTCGTCTCGAAGGAGGTGTCACTTCAACCACGTGCTTCTTCAGGGAGCGGGCCTGTATGACGGGGCCAGACAGTGGTAGCACAGCACTACTCCCAGGGCTCTTTTATTTGGTGTGTGTGGCCCTTTTAAACATTTATGCGATTTTATTTATTTATCTGTAAGTTGTTTTAAATCCTTTCTTGAACAAGGCAGGACATAAATAAGACACATAAGTAAAATGAAAAGTTTAATAAAAAAGTAAACACTAAATTCCATAGCTGCATAAAACGTGCTGTTGGTATGCCCCCTATTTCCTGACCCATTGTTTTATCACTGAATGCTTGGAAAACAGAAAAGCTTTCAATTGAAGGGAAAAAAAGAGAAAGGTATTTGGGTAGATAATGCAGAAACAGAGCATTAAACTTTCAAGAGGCAATTGCTTGAAACGCCCAAAGTAGCAAAGTAATAACTAGCTATGGTTCATTAAAGAAAACACATTTTTAAATTTAACCCCACGATGTTTGCTGATCACATTATGAGATGTCAGCGGAACGAGCTGGGTCTCCTACCAGTTCCCTCCCACCTCGAGCAGGACCACCAGGCGCCCCTCGGGACGGGGCCTGGCCCTCCTGACCAGCTCTGCCTCCGGAGACCCTCCTCCCCGCCCGCCCTGTCAGAGCTGATAGCGCCCGCAGCTGTATCTTCGGGTCCCACGCTGCCTGTTAGGACTATGCCTGCACCCTACTCCCAGGCTCAGCCCAGCTTCTGGGAACCCTCCCCGCACCCTCCAAGTCAAACTCATGACCCTGCAGGAAGCAGAGTTGAGAGAGATAACTGTCTTTCGAAGAAAAAACAGAACAAAACTGGTACTTTGAACACAAAGAGCAAAGAAAGCTCTGGGAGGCCATAGCCTACTGCTCTCCCTAAGTGCCGGCGCAAGGCTTTTATTAGTACAACGGACGGGCAGCGAATGTAGCCAGGACAACTAACTGCATGATGTTGCAGAAGCGAAGGGACCAGGTTTGCTAAAGTATTGTGGTGACAGAAATGATTAGCCTCAGAAGCTACTGAGGCGGCTCATTCTATCCTAGGACAGCGCTAAAAACACTGAGCCAGGACAAAGCATACCACCGGTTTCTATGCAAACGCGCGCCTTTCTAAAATCAGCGGAATCTCATGCTTATCAAACTTCAAAAACTAACAGTAAGTATCATCTGAGTCTCCGCTCCCGTCAGGCATTTTGTGCACATCCTTACTCCACTGCAATACTCCCAACATCCGACATCCCAGGCACAGCCAGTGCTCATGAATACTTTATTAGACGGCAACTAACCCTTCAATGTCAAAGAACAGGAAAAAGGTTAACCTACGAGCCTAGAGGCAGAAACTCCCAGATCGGTAAAGGCGGATGCACGCCGGCCTCGCTGCAGAGCCCCGGATACGCGCAATAGCTCATGGACGGCCGTGTCATTAAATGGAGACTTTGCGACGACTTGTTCAAGGTCACCCAAGTGTGGACTACAACTCCTGCTCCTAATGACCCTGCTCCTCGGCCTCTTCTTTTTTTTTTTTAACCCTCACCCAAGGATATTTTCCCATCGATTTTTAGAGAGTGGAAGAAAGAGGGAAAGACAGAGAGAAACACATCGATTGGTTGCCTCCTGCACACCCGGAATCGAACCCAGGACCCTTCGGTCCACAGGCCAACACTCGATCCCCTGAGCCAAACCGCTAGGGCTCCTCAGCCTCTTTACTGCACGACACCTTAGGAATGTGATCATCTGCGTGTCAGGTGTTTGGACCACCAGGGCTTCCCACTGCCTGCCCAATGCAGCTCATCAGGCTCGTGGCTATAAATGTGGAACTTCCGAATGTAATGTAGATGGGAAACTCCCCAAAAGAATGACCTTCGCAGACCCATCTTTAAATGGCTCATGAAGTCCCATCGTGAGGTTAGGTAAGCTGTGAATGAACGAACACACAGCACCTCACTGCTTTAGAGGGACCTGCGTGTGCACAGGACTCAGCCGACCCCTTTGTACTCAATTTCTGCAGATGGCCAACCCATGCTGGCTGGGGGCGTGGGTGACTGTGAGAAATGGCTTTCCTCCCATCTGCAACCCAAGCTCAAATGTTTAGCCCCACTCTCTGCTGTGGGCTGAACTTGAGCATCCCAGACAACCAACAACCATGGGAAGAACAATGTATCTATCAGGGAAGGAAGGAACATGCAGGAATTTTAGGAAAATGTTTTATTGGTAGGTCATGATTCTAGTTTCATCACTGTTGTGGAAGGATGAAGATCCCAGGATGCTGATCTCAAGAAAGAAAACCTTTTTAAGTTTATTTAACTGTGTTTTTATTGTTTGTTTAAAACTCGAAAAGGGATTGGCTCCTTTAAAGCTAACTTGACTGGGACCAAGATCTTAAAACTGGATATAAACACTGCTGAATGATGTGTAGAAATGAAACTCTTCCAAAGGCAATTCAACATTGATAAGTAGAAATTATCCATTATTTAGAAATAAATTAGGTTTAAAATGTATCAATTAAAATGTCTAAAAAACGTACAAAGATCAAAGTAATTTTACTCTGATTTATTGTTCAGGAACCCTCTCTCCAAATAAATTTTGGAAAATTCTCAGAAATCTCAGATGAGTTAGCTTTTAGGCACCGTGATGCCTCTGACCTGGTCTGTGTGCCCAGGTAATGAGAAATGACTCCTTCCCCTCAGCGTGCGGCAGGCAACGGCCACTCTGTAAACAAGAAATCCAGACCACGGAGAAAGGGATTCATTCGAGATCGCCTACGTCTTGTTCATGGCAGAACCTGGTGGTCCCGACTAGCTGCCCGCTTCACTCTCTGGACCATAATTGAGGGGATATTCTAAAGTTTAAAACCTGGGGTGAGTTGTTTTTTTTTTTTTAAGGGAAACTTTTTCTTTAAAATATGTTTTTACTGATTTTTAGAGAGGAAGGGAGAGGGACAGAGATAGAAATATCCATGAGAGAAACATCATTGCTCGGCTGCCTCTTGCATGCCCCTACCGGGGATCAAGCCTGCAATCCAGACATGTGCCCTGACTGGGAATTGAACCAGTGATCTCTTGGTTCCTGGGTTGATGCTCAACCACTGAGCCACATCGGCCAGGCTCTTCTTCCTTTAAAAAATTGGTTTTCATTCATTGATTTTAGAGAGAGGAAGGGAGGGAGGGAGAGAGGGGGAGAGAGAGATATAGAAACACTGACCTGTTGTTCCACTTATCCATGCATTCTTTGGGTGTCTCTTATATGTGTGCTGACAGGGGATCAAATCTGCAACCTCGACATACAGGGATGATGCTCCAACCAATGAGCCACCTGGCCAGGCTGAAGGAAGACTCTTAAGCTATTTTTGAAATGTCTAATGACTCCAATTATAACTATGTATTCGGATTCTAATTTTTACACATTTATTTATTTACCTAGTTATTCTTTCCAATTTTTAGATTTTTAACTAGAATTCCCAGGCTGCTTCCATTTGAGACTCCTAGGGAAGTCTCTGAACTTCCTGAGCACTGCGTGAACGTACTGAGATGTCCTGGTGGGAAGAGGACCTCACCTCCTACAGTTATACTGATGTGGCATCAAAAACTAGCGGCAAACAAAACAGATGTTTTCCACTTCCAAGCACACATGTAAGAAATAAGATTGCTTCTATTTTTTCTCTAACTCTCCAACTAAATGTTGTTTTCACTTCAGGTTGCCTCTGATTTCACAAAAAGGTCCTAGTAAATGTCAAGTCCAGAGAACACCCTTCAGAGCGTATCCTACAGAATCAGGAGATAAAGTTGGCACAGCACACCTTTTACCTGGAGTTTGTTGGCAAAGGCCACACAAAATGACGCAAGCAAGAGGACATGTTTCACAGGGATTCCACTTATCAGTATGGGAAGTGCCTTCACTCATTGATAGTAGTGAAATTTTGGGGGGGATTTTATATTATTTTTGTTAATCCTCACTCGAGGATATTTTTCCATTGATTTTTAGGGGGGGGGTGGAGACAGAGATAGAAACATCAATGTGAAAGAGACACATCGATTGGTTGCCTCCAGGGCGAGGGATGAGCCTGCAACTGAGGTACATGCCCTTGACAGGCATCGAATCCGGGACCCTTCAGTCTCAGGACCATGCTCTACCCACTGAGCCACACATGCTAGGGTGGTGGTAGTAAAACTTTTTAAAAGAAGTATTTCTTTGGCTCCCACCCATGAGTCCAGGAGCAATGACAGGTCCTCAGATCCCAGCAGTTTCAAGATATACTTTTGACAAATGTTTACCTAGGAGTCTTGCTACGCCTGTCATTACAGCTCTTTGCTTATGTGCAGCTAGAATTCTGTAAGTCTGGCAAACGGGTCAGTGGCGGCTAAATTACTGATAACCCAGACTAACTACAAAGGGATGATAAGAAAGGCTGACTTCAGAGAAGCTAGTATCATTATCTGCTTTGCTTCTAAGAACTGCAGCAAGCTTCAAGAATAACTAGCCAGATCGCCCCACTAAAAGGGAAGAGCCCAGTCCTTGTGGCTCAGTGGGTTGGAGGGTCGTCCTGGACACTGAAAGGTCGTGGGTTCGATTCCTGGTCAGGCCACCTGCCCAGGTTACGGTTTGGTCCCGGGTTGGAGCCAATAAGAGAGACAGCGGACGTTCCGCTCTCACATCGATGTCTCTCTTTCAAATCAATGAATACGTCCTCAGGTGAGGATTGGGGGGAAGAGGGGGGTAAAGAAACCAAAGGCCAAAGCGATTTACCCAAAGCCTCGCTGTTGTTGCGTTACAAGTAGCTAACGCCGGAGGGATTTTCCCGAGAACACAGTCCCCGAGCCAGCAGCCGTGGTCTGAGGGCCGGGGAGCGAGGGGGACAGCGCGGACAACCCAGGGCTGACCCCAGGCGCCCGCACCTCCCAGGGGGGCGTGTGCCCGCGGGCCAGCGACCTCCTCTCTCGGCCGAGAGCCGGGAACCTCCGACACCCACCTCCAGGGCCCACGCGAGAACGAAGGGCGTGCTGGGCTCGCCCCGCAGGGTGGCCCCGCAGAGTGGGCACGGGGGGCACGCGAGCTGCTGGGCACCGCGCAGGCCAGCTCTGCCCTGGAAGCCCGACCTGACCTGCCAGCTCCGACCCCTCGCCGCCCCGAGCTGGGAGGGGGGTCCTCGCGGCGCCGGGAAGCCCGGCCCGGCCGCTTGGAGGCGGGCGCCCCACCTGCTGACCTGACCTTGGAAGCCGCCCTGCCCTTCGCGCTGGCCTCGGCGGCACCAGGCAGCAAGGACGCGCACTGGGCCCCTCCACGTGCCCGACACGCACGCCGAGGCCGCGCGTGGGGCTCCGCTTCCGTCCCGGCCACGGAGCTGCCTCCTCACCTGCAGCCTCCGACCTGAGGCTGCGGGTCCCGGAGGCTCTTCCTCCAGCCTCTGGGAGAGGAGCGCGCCAGGCGCCGGCCGCGGAGCCTGGGTCACTCCAGGGGCCCACGGACCCCTGCGAGGCCGCCTGGTGGCTTTGACCTTGGTCCCCAAGCCTTGTGTCCCCTCCTGCCGGCCGGGGGCGAGGACAGGACACGGCCCCGCCACCGGGGCGGGGGTGTGAGGCGCGCGCGGCCCCGGGTCCTGGGGGACGGGGACTCCCCCTGCGTCTGCACCCAGGGAGCCCGGTGCCCTCCCGCGGGGGCGGGGACCCCGGCGGCGCCTGGACAGCGCACGGGGCGCCTTGGCCGCCGAGAGCAGGGCACAGGCCGCCGGGACGCCCCCGCGCGAGGGCCCGGGCGGTGGGGGCCGCCCGGTCGGCCGGCGGTCGCGCACGTCAGACGGGGTCACGCGGCCTCCTCGCCGGCCCCGGCCTCCCGCGGCGGGAACGGGGACACTCGCCGCCGGCCCGGCCCTCCCGGACGGCCGGGCCCGGCCTCAGCCCTGCCGGCATCCCGCCGCGGGCCTCACCTCCCTGCGCACGTTCAGCAACGAGTAATAGTCTTCATTGTCCAGCTCCTCCTCGCTCAAGGCCGTCGCCATCTTCGCAACCTTTCACCCCGCCAAACCGGCAGGCCGTGCTCAAGAGGGACCGGCGGCCGGCGGCGCGCACGGCGCGAGCGGCCCGGCGGCGCCACAGCGGCCCCTGGCGGCCCGGAGGCGCGTCGCCGCCGCCCGCGCCGGAGAGCAAGCAGCGCGCCTGCGCCCTGCGCCCCCGCGCGGCCGAGGGCGGGAGCGGCGCCCGGGGCCCCTCCACGTGCTGCCCGCGCACCCAGAGCCCAGCCGGGCCTCCCTAGGTCTGTGCGCGGACGGACGGGAAAGGGAGGCTCTGCAGTCACAGTGGGTGGCGGTCGCCCTCTGGGCGCCGCGGAGACAGGCCCCTGCAACACCTCCCTGTCTCCCTGGCCGGCCCCCAGAGCGGGGCGCACCCCGCTTCCCAAATAGCCCCACCGGGGCGCACCCGCTTGCCGACGTGTCTTTGCACAGGAAACCTCCAAGTGGGATTTGTTCTGCCACCATTTCCCTGGACCCTCCAGAACCTGGATCAGAGGGTGGGCCTCCTCATTTCCATTTCCCATTATTGCCCTATAGTTAGGAGCGTTGGGCCAGTTTTCTGCTGTTTAAATGAAGAGGCAGGACCCATCTGGTTCCTGGTCTAATTGTCTTTGGCAGCTGTGCGCACCTTCAGCCCCCGCCCAGAGCCGCTCTCCTGTAAATTTCTACCTATCATTTAGCGGTGGAGTCTAATTGATTTCAACCCGGTGCCTGCTGTTTGGCGCATTATTAAAGATGCCTCGGTTACAATCGCCTCAATAATGTAAATGTCTTCGAAAGGATGCAGTTATCAGGAGACGGTGGGCCCCGGGGCTCCCGCGCTCCGGCCACCTGTGTGCCCTGGCCCAGCCTCCATGGTTTCTCAGGGACGTTTGTGGTGCCTTAACTAGCCAGAGGTGTAGACCATCCTCGCTGCCCTTCCCAGGCAGGCCTCCTGGGAGCCCCGAACACCTGCCGGTGGTGGATTTGAGACGTTGATTTCTTTCTCTTCTAATTTCTGGCCAGATGTGTGCCAGCTGGGGCTCTGCACCCCCTTCCCCGTTGCCCCACCTCTGAGGCTCTCTCTGGCGGCGTCTCTGGCAGGAGACGCTGAGGTGCCCTGAGCTGGGTTATTCAGGAGCGTTGAGCCCGGGTGCGGCGACCCATCGGCCCGGGTGTCAGCGAAGAGCTATTTCTTTGGCTGTGCGAGGCTTCCCCACAATAGCTTTTCACAGATACTCACGTTCCATCCGCGATTCCAGCAATTTTTTTTTTTACGGTCTTTCCTTTTTTCTCCTTTGAAGAGAGAGCAGTGATTAGGCTCAACGGCAGGCTGTCATGTGCTGGTCTTTAAGAATTTCTTACAGGGAGGCTGGGGAGAGAAACGACTATGCGGAGACCTTCCTTTTTCCCCGTTCGGTTTGTAGACATTAATTGGGCCACACGCTCGGCTGGGGAGAGGAGTCCTCTGCCCTCCTTCCTCTGCTTCGGCAAACACGCCTCCAGGATCCATAGAAGCGGGACGGAGCATGTGTTTCCGGACGCCAGGCCTGCGCGCCTGTGACGGGGGATGGCCTGCTGGTCGTCCCCACCCAGACAGAATGAACAGTGGCCCGGGAGGCTCTGCCTCTGCCCTCTCTGGGGCCCACGCTATGCGGTTCCGTGGCTCTTGGAGGGCGGTCGTGTCGAACGGAAAATAAGCTTAGACCCATCACAGGCCCGAGGACAGTTACCGCGGAGGTCGGCTCTTTCGGTTTCTTCCCTCCAGAATCTTACCCTGTGACGGGGAAAGCGAACGGAAGCCAGGAGCAGTGCACGTTAGCAAGTTAACACACAGCCGGCAAGCTACTCGGGCCGGAGCGGCTGACAGAACGCACCACCTCACCTCACAGCCTTGCACCTCTGTCTGCTTCTCGTTGGGCAAAGCCAGAGAGCACGTTGTAACTTACCTGTAAAGCAAAGCCTAATATACTTATGTAATAGATTTATAATTTTGTCATATATATATTTTTTATTGATTTCAGAGACAGGAAGGGAGAGAGTGAGAGAGAAAGACACATCCATGATGAGAGAGAATCATCATGGGTCGGCTGCCTCCTGTAGGGCCCACACTGGGGGTCGAGCCCCCAACCCAGGCATGTGCCCTTGACCGGAATCAAACCCGGGACCCTTCAGTCTGCAGGCCGATGCTCTAAAAAAGACACGAGTATTTTATCTTACAAAAGTATAGGGAGTAAAAAAAAAAAAAAGGTATTTGGAGTCCCAGGAGGAGGGAATTGAGTTGTTTAAGGTCTAGATGTTCTCCCTGGCCAGTGTCACTCAGTGGTTAGAGCGTCACCCTACACACCCTCTAGAGCAGTGGCTCTCAACCTACCTAACGCCGCGACCCTTTAATACAGTTCCTCACGTTGTGGTGACCCCCAACCATAACATTATTTTCGTTGCCACTTCATAACTGTAATTTTTCTACTGTTATGAATCGTCATGTAAATATCTGATGTGCAGGATATATTTTCATTGTTACAAATTGAACATAATTAAAGCAAAGTGATTAATCACAAAAACAATATGTAATTATATATGTGTTTTCCGATGGTCTTAGGCGACCCCTGTGAAAGGGTCGTTCAACCCCCAAAGGGGTCGCGACCCACAGGTTGAGAACCGCTGGTCTAGAGCATCTCAGGTTTGGTTCCTGGTCAGCAGCACACACTGGGGTTGCAGGTTGGATCCCCAGCTCCGGTTGGGGCACACGTAGGAGGCAACCAATCGATGTATTTCTCTCACCTCTCTCTCTCTCTCTCTCTCTCTCTCTCTCTCTCTCTCTCTCTCTCTCCCCCCCCTTCTCTCCCACCTCCCTTCCACTCTTTCTGAAAAATCAATGGGAAAATATCCTTGGGTGAGGATTAACAAAACAAAAAATAATAAAGTGAAACTGG